TATATATATATATATATATATATATATATATATATATATATATATATATATGATATTTTATAGGTATAAATTAATCATTTTTATATCAAAAAATCGAATTACTATAAAAATTTTATTATACATACATTTATGCATAAATATATATAAAACCTGTTAACACGTAGGCTAAATTCTGTTTTTTTTTTCAATATAAATATATATATTTTTTATATTAGTCTTAAGAGAATAAGAAAAAACTTGTAGATACATACATACATATACTTATACACACATATACACATATGGATACATACATACATACATGTACTATGTTAACCGGATACTTTATGAGTGCACCTGTGTTCGTTAGACTTAATAATTTTTTTTTATTAGGTAAGACCCAATGCCTAAAGCAAATAAGTACACGTTCACACACACACACACACACACACACACATACACACACATACACACACACACACACACACACATACACATCGACATACATTTAACGTAGCTGAATGAATGTAAGCAAACTGCAATTGCAACAGAAAACGAAAACTTTTAATTACTAATCTAACAATAATAATAATAATAAAAAATCTACACAGAAAATGAAAATGAATATATTTTGATTTAAACAGCTCTTAAGTTAGGTATGTTATGTAAGTAAGGCTAACTTACGCGATGTGTGCATGCAGCAGATCGAACGAACGATCGCTCGACTCCGATCTCTTGCAAAGTTAGTTCAAGCAATCAATCAATCAGTAAAATCATATCTTAAAATCATCACCCATATTCTCACATATCTAACACACACTCACACACGCATACGCACACACACACACACATGCATTGAAATCTCTCTCATCATACCAACTGTTTGTTTGTTTACCTCGCATACAAATGTAACAACAGCTATTTGTGAGCGCCAAGGCCAGTGTTTGAAATACCCTGTGAGTGGAGCTCTGTCGCGTGGTATAGCTTAGCTGCCATATGCGAGGTGTGCTCGATAAGTAAGTGTGACTGAATCGAATGCACTTATTCGTTTCTTAACGATGACAAACATTCTGAACATCATGAGTAATCGATTATAGAATCAAACTTTGCCTGCGACTTGTGTATTTGTTTAACGTCACGCCTGTTTCTTGAGTACACCACGTCTATATATGCGTATCCTTGCTGCATTATGCGATCTTGTGTTAAATTCACTGTTTTGCTCCACTTGGAAAAACTATGACTGAAAAAGAAGGAGAAGAGAAGGTAGAAGAATCGATTATTGCGCAACCATTTATTTGTACTTAAGTCTCTCTGTCTCTCTCTCTCTCTCTCTTTCTCTCTGTGAGCGACAATTACTAATACTTATAAAAACAAATCAAAACAAAAAACGAACCATATCCCTCTACAATACTACCCATTACCCCTAAGTCCAGTCAGCATCCAGTATTCAAGTGTTCCCATAGCTGTACCTGTGTTCCCGAATCCCGAATCACCAAACAACAGCTGCCAATGGGGCAGCTCTTTGTTCTAATCTACAAATGTTAAGTATCAATCCAAGTGCCACACACACACACACACACACGCATACACGCACACACACACACACACAAACTCGCACCCATACTCTCTCTTTCACACATAAACCTATTTTATTAATTCCCTACATTTGTCAAAAATTCGATTTATGCAACATATGTATGTATACATATGCATATATGTATATATATTGTATAAGGCGTAACATCTAAAAAATTGTGTGTTTACCCGCCCTACTTACCCTGATGCACACCCCCCGAATGCCCCACCCGCCTACCCCCCAAAAGCACATTTGAAATCTGGTATATTTTGGTTGTTATCTTAACCCCAACCAAATCAATCGAATCGCATCACACACACAGGCAACAAAAGGTGCTGCTGCGTTTGAGTTTGAAAAAAAGAGACACTAGTGACAACAGAAATTTAGAGCGCTTGGTGCTCGTTACACCAAGTCAACTAAAATAACAAAAATTACAACAAAAACAAAAATATTACTAAAAAAAACACATTTTATATACAACAAATCAATCAGGCCAAAACATGTTTCAAAATTTTGCTAAAAAAAAAACAAAAACAAAACAATAAACGACTAATTGGTTTTTAACGTTTTCAAGAAAATTAAAAAAGAAAAAAAATTTACGACACATTCACAATTGGTACCGTCACCAAAATTTAACTGTCTAAACACTATTTGTGGTGAGTTCTCACGAAACTCACCACGCAGCAGCCTTAAGGTATGCTACAGAAAATCTTCCTTCGAGCGTAAACGAACGTTAACAACAACAACAACAGCAACAACAACAAGAAATTTCTTCGAACTCCACAAAAAAAAAATTTGTTTATTGAAATCAAACAAAAATTTGTTTGTGCGCCGCAAAAACAAGAAAATTTTCAAGTGAAAATGCAACAGCTAGAAAAATACAAGAAAATAAAATTGAAAAACAGTTTTTATTACTATTTTATTTACTCATGTTTTTTGAGAAACCAAAAACCAAAATTAAGAACCAAAAAGCGTTTTTTTTTTTCAATGATTTTAATGCAAATGCAAATGAAACAGAAACAAGCAAAATTATAAACTTATATTTCGATATACAAATAGCAAAATCAGCAAGTTTTCAATTTGGTTTTGAGCCTGGATTTGTTAGTGTAAAATAATGTAAAATAATAATACAACAACAAACTAAAAACAAAACACAAAAAACTTAACTCACTAGACAGACACAGACACAGACACAGACACAGAGACACGGATAAACGCACACTACTATATGCACGCGTACAACTACATGACACGCACATCCACTTATACATATATATGTATATATACATTTATATATATATATATATATATATGTGTGTGTGTGTGTGTATGTGTTGGAATGTATGTGTGTGTGTATGTATATGTGAGTGTTCGTACAAAAAAAAAAAACGAACATGAAAAACATAAACAACCAGAACAACAACAACCAGAACAGCCAGAAGAACAACAACAACAACCAGAACAACAACAACAATAGAAACAAAGTCAAATATACAGAAAAGTCACTATTGTCTCTTTTTTTCTTCTCTTCCTATATGACGTATAGGTGGCAGCACCAGCCTACTCAGCGGCGTCATAGTGCCCGGTGGTAGTGACAACCCTAGTAATAGTAGTAACAACCAACAACAACAACAACAACAAGTAGAACAACAGCCAACATCACAACACCAACTCCAACAACAACAACTCCAAATCCAACAACAACATCATTCCACACTACATAACCCACAACAACAACAACAACAACTGCACCAAGAACGTGAACGAGACCGAGAACGTGAACGTGAACGCGAACGTGAACGTGAACGTGAACGTGAGAGAGATAGAGATAGAGAGCGTAGCAGCAAGGCGAGTGATCTACACAGCAACAGCGAGCGCAGTCTCTCACGCTCATCGCAGTGTGGCATCAGCGAGGGCATGGCAATGCACAGCAGCAGCGCAACTCCGTCCCCGAATGCCAGCTACAAGCGCGAAAGGGAACGAGAAAGGGAGAGGGAGCGGGAACGGGAACGGGAACGGGAACGGGAGCGGGAGCGAGAGATTGAGAGAGCACGGAGCAATACGCCGGGTGCAACACCCCCGCCATCACAGACATCATCGCATCACGGACATCCAGCACCACCGCCGCACTTTAGTCAACATCCGCTGGCAATGCTATCGAGCCATCACCAGCATCAGCTGCATTCGCACCACGAGCTGTCGCCTGGCGCTGCCCATGCGGTGGTTGCTGCACATCATGCGCATGCTCTGGCCCGCGCCGCCTCGCCGCTTGTGGACCGCCACCACTTATTGCATCAGCACCATCGGCGCGCCTCGCTATCGCCCTCGGCGTCAGTCAGCAGCGGCGGCGGCGGCCGCGGATCCGCCGGCAATGCGGCCAGCAATTTGCTGAGTTCAGCGCGCGCCAGCGATGTGGCGCAGGCCAACCGCCTGCTCCTGCCATTGCCGCTGAATGCGTGCCATCGCTGCGATGTGTGCGGCAAGCTGTTGAGCACGAAGTTGACGCTGAAGCGGCACAAGGAGCAGCAGCATCTGCAGCCATTGAACAACGCCGTCTGTAATCTGTGCCACAAGGTTTTCCGCACGCTCAACTCGCTGAACAACCACAAGAGCATCTATCATCGTCGGCAGAAGAATCACCACTCGTACTTCCATCACAGTGGCGGAGTCGTTGGCCAGGCGGGCAGTCCCGGCAGTCGGCTGCATCAGTCGCTCAGCTCGCTGACCGCTGTAAACAACAGCGTCGGTGGCGGTGGCGCCGGTGGTAATGCTGTGGCTGCTGCCGCGGCTGCCGCAGCGGCTGCTGCGGAGCTGCTGCTGTCGCCAATTGTGGGCGCCGCTGCTGTCGCTGGGGGTACGGCAAGCTCGACGCTGCAACTGGCGGCGGCGCATCAGCAGCAGCAGCAACAGCAACAGCAGCAGCACCAGCAGCAGCAGCAGTCCTCGCCGAACATAGTCAAGCCATGCATAGACTTCTTATAAGATCAGCATCAACTCTTGCAGCAGCTGTTCCATGTTGCGCTCAACAACTCAGCAGCAGCAGCGGCGGCAGCATCGGCCTGCCAGCCCCAACCTGGCGATTACGTCGGCCAGCAGGTGGGCGCCACGCCAACGGTTGACCTAACCCAATTGGACCAGGGCAGCGGTGGCGTCTATGCGGCGGCGGCCGCAGCAGCGGCAGCTGCAGCAGCAGCGGATGGGGGAGTTCCAGACCTGCGTGCCCTTCATCTGCATCAGCAGCAGCAACAGCAACAGCAACAGCAGCAGCAACAACAACACGGTCATTTGGCCCATATGCATCCACACTCCCACTCCCTACCACACCCACACCCACACCCACAACAGCATCAGCATCAGCATCCGCACCAGCATAGCCATACTCATGCCCAGCATCATCATCGCTATGAACGAATGAATTTATTAGACCAATAAGCAGAGCGATAAAATGAATACTACACAAGCGTGACGTCATCGACGGTGAGCCCGTTCACATAATACACACATACTCACACACTCATAGGAAATCGGAGGATATAAAACAAAAGAGGAGGGAGAGAGAGAGAGACGAAAGAAGATAACGGATGATCTACTACTGAATGCAAACGCACACATTGAGGAGGACATAGCGGATAATCTTGTACTGAATGTATATACATAGATATACACGTATAAATATACATAGGTATATAGACGCACACGCCCACGCACACACACACACAAACACATACATGCACAATTGCATACACTTTGGATCTCAACATGGCGGAAAACTGCAATAATTAAAATTAAACAAAACAAAAACAAAATGTTTCGACAAACAACAACTATAATCGAACAACTAAGAAGGAAAGGATGTGGAAGAAAAATAAGATAAAACATGTTTAGGCAAATGAATGAAAAAACTGTGATTTTTTACAAAAACTTGATTATAAATATAAAAAGAAACAGAAAAACAAAAATGAAAATGAAAAAAAAAAAAAAAAAAACGAAGAAACAACACAATTAACGTCTTAAAAAAGGATGCGATAAAAAAATTATAATTAAATAAAAATGAGAGCGCGCAGATTTTTTTTAATGAAAAAAATGAATTTGGCTAAGCCAAAATGCAATAGCTTTTTTTTTTCTTTAAGTATAGGAAAACTGAATGAGAATAGCGTGGAAAACGAGGGAAGCGTAAAAGACTGTTAACGAAACAAACGATGAAACAGACAGACACAACACACACTCATGCATGCACATGCTGCATTCATTCATAAGCATAAGAATAATTTACCTCTTGAGTATTAATCATATTATCCGCAACACTCACACGACAGAGAGACACATAGATATGATAAATGATTCATACGACAGGCCCACAACGAACAGCAGTATGTATATATATATATATATATA